GTTAAAACCTACTAACTTTGTAAGGTGAAAGGTTAAAACTTAACAACTTTGTAAGATAAAAAGTTAAAACTGTCATATTATAAGTTGAGAGGCTAAACCTACTTTGTAAGGTGAGAGATTAAATGTTGGTTTTTGCCCTTCCAATTGTGGGAGAAACAAGTAGCACAAAATTAAAAGACAGAAAAAAAAAAAATAGAAACAAAATACTTCTCCATAGATGCACTCTGCTTGGCAAGTTTATTGGTTACATCATTTGTGAAGAGGTTTTTAATATAATGAAAAAATCTCTAATAGTAGAAATTTTATGATAATATAGTAATAATATAAACAAAATAAATGATAAATAAGAGAAGTACACTTAATATCACGTAATTCGAGATAATAACAAGACATTATAATGCATTAAGGCCTTTTAATTCATGATACAAAAGCTTACGTGGGTTTTACATATTTATTTTTCTTTATTTTTTTTTACATACGAGCAACTTTATTTATAAGGTAATGGATATATAATATAAGAAAATAACAATTAATTGAAAATGCCAATAACCTAAATAATTCAATGATTATTTTCTTCTATTAGAAGTAAGAGATGAGTTCAAATCACATGACATGCGGGTGAGTTCTGATAAGGGATGAGAGATGATTGCCTCCAATTATGCAACAAAAAAAAAACAATTAATTGAAAATATTTTATTAATGAGATTATAATTAATATCAAAAGTTTGAAATTAATCAATTAATAAATTGATTTTTCATAATTTGATTAATTTTTATAATGACATGAAATTTCTTCGTTTTATAATAAGATACTATTCTTTATTTGTTCATCTTTAATTTGCCTTTCGATAGATATGCATAAGGCAGATATCCTCAAACTGAAGGATCAGTGACATACAAAATGCAATTAGAGATTTATGAGTTATGTTTTCAGCATAAGTCTCATTTAAGTTATTAACAACAATAATAGAGTCTACCTCTACTTCAAGGTTCGTAAACCCTTTTTCAAGAGCTATTTCAAGGCCTGTTTTCAGACCCCAGAACTCAGCATCATTATTTATTGGTGCCATGCCCCAGGCTTTGGGCGAAGCCAAGAACCCAGTTTCCTTATTGATCTCGAATGATTCTTCCGGCCCCTGCTATAACAAGATTGGTACAAGAGGATCCATTGGAATTGAATTTCATCCATCCCGCTTGCGGTGCTTCCCATTTGATAAGAGCGAAGACCTGTGTTCTGATGAGAAGTGTAGGCTCTATTAGCCCAAAACTCAATAGCGAACTGAAGGGATTTATTAAGGATCCCATTGAGATCAGAATGTTACTGGAAACAGGGACTGCTTCTGTCATTCCAAATGTTCCAGAGGATAGAGCGGAAGAGAGAAGACCAAGGAATCCTTGGGTGAGGAATGCATAGTTTAGAGGAACAGTTAGCGAGAAGCCGTGCATAAAGATCAAGGTTGAAGGTGTGCTGGTGGGATGGATGAATAGGAATTGATGCCCAAAGGTGGGAAGGGCTGGACAATCACGGATGAGGTGATCTGTTGTTTCTTGATAATCAGGGGCGGAGGAGGGGACTAGCACCCTGAAATTTGAAAATCTTTGTAAATTAATATATAAAAAATTATCTCACTTTCCTTAAAATTTAAAAATTTTATAAATTAATATATAAAAACTTATCTCGTTCCTTAAAAAAAATATCTGGCTCTGCCCCTGTTGATAATGGTTGTGTTTCGCACATAAACTGAAAACTCGAATCCACCGTGAAGAAGGAAGCATCCTTGCAATTCTTTTATGGTGGAGAAGCCAAACCAAGAACTTAATTTTTGGGACAGTAAGAGCTTTCCAAATCCAGAGCCAGCTCGTTTCAAGGGGAGGGAAAGCTTACTGACAATTTCCTAAGCTGAAGAAAGGGAGAAGGATCCATTGGGGGTACCCTTCTCGATCAGAAAGTCAATCCTCATTCGGGTTGCCGAGGTCAAGTTATGAAGAGATGTGTGCTGAGTTGAAGGAGAGAGTCACGCATTAGCACCAAGGGTTTGTTCAAGGCAGAGGCAGCCATACTACCTGGTGGGCAACCACCATCAAACCTTTGGATCTTGGTGATCATGCTTAAATACATTTATATGTGTGCGTCCTTGTGCATCTCATGATAAACACAACCTAACCAGAAAAACAAGAGAGATGACAAATTAACATTACACCATGAACATATGATAAGTTCCATCAACGCTATTCTTCGGCTAAACATAGAGCCGGCCTGTGACGCAAAGCAAATTAAAAGCTACCAAAGAGCATCATTCACACCAAGGCGAAACATTACAGCTAAGGATGTCCAGAGTATCTTATGTAGATAATTAAGACAGTAGCACATTACAAGTTACAAGGTTAAAGTTGCAGCAATCTACTGTGCCAAAGCACTTGTGTTGTAAACAAGGAGAGCACCGCCTGCAAGAAGGCCAGCAAGGGTAATAGCCCAAATTGCCAAACCAGTTGGGCCTACATCATATATAAATCATGGAATTAGTTGTATATAAGTTTGAAACATGAGATTATGAACCTGAAATCAAAGTTTTGGTTGCTAAGAATTACATACCCCCAACATAAACATCACCGCTTGGAGACCAGTCATTTTCATTGTAGATAGGACTGCATATAAATAATCAAACAATATATTAGCCAGCAATTCCTTACTAATTGCACAATTTTCACTTTTTAGGAGTAACCAAAGATTAAAAAGAAAAAATTAAAAGTTAGCTTGTTTGCATTGTAGAGATTTGAATCATTGACTGACTTCAAATTAAGATTTTTATGTTGATAGCTACTATCTTAGCCACGTTGCTGTTAGTTAATCATTTTATCTTATGATTATGTGACAAACATTAAGGTTAAGGAAAATGATTCACTGAATCACTCACAATGTTGTTATATTGTAATGCAACCTCATGATATTAGGAACATGGTAATAATTTTTACTGGCTCCTTTTACTTAGTTGGACGTGTGAATCGTTATTTATCCCGGCTATCTATTAAATTAAACAGAGACAACTGAAGTTTGGAAGAGAATATTTTACCTGTATCCATCAACATTAGCTCCATATTTGTCAACAAATTGGTAAACACCCTTTCCCTGAATTCAATTAGAAGATCAAAATGTCAATCTTTTGTTAGAACAAGAACGAGCAACAATGGAAAATTAGACACTAATTGGTATATATTTTTGTTCAACACACTGCACAATATACTCATTAAAAAGTTATTATATTTTAGTCTAAATTAAAAGTAGACAAATTTAAAATGTAATTATGCATGCAGAATGCAGGAATCGATTAAATCGATTATATTTATATTTTAATAACTGAACTAAAATGTGTGTTAAACTGAGAATGTATTAATCATTCTTCCAGAAAATTACATTGAATTCAAACTCAATTCGATACAATAGGAAAAATCCATCTCCACAAAAGAATTCATTTCCATTGGAATTAACTTCGATCAGTCTGCTACATAAAAAAACAAAAAAATTTCAGAATATATATATATATATATATAGAATTTTAATCAAATAAACAACGAATTCAATAAACTTTTTTTCTTTCTTTGATAAGACACATTCAATAAACTTTATACAAAAGCTCAAGAAGAACACCAACCTTGCCTTTCCTTCCGGATGCGTCGAGGCCGTCTCTCAAACTCATGCCACCGTTTATTCCTGCACTCAAATTAAATTTTAATTCAATACAATGAAAAGTAACTTGGACAACCATGTATTACTTCGCCAAGCATATTCCCTCTAATTAATTCATCTCCTAAACAGGATTTGATGCTTAAGGGTCTATTTAGTTTAGCTCCAACTGTTAATACATAGTCTACTCAAAGCAGTTAAACCAAAGAGAGCACCACTTTTATAAAAGTTCTCCTTGAGTAGATTTTTGAGCCACGTTAAAATCTACTCGAATAGAAACTTTTATAAAAAGTTATGCATTGAATCCTAATACGTTAGAATAATTTTTATTTTAGTTAGTAATTAAGGTGTTCCCAAGCAGCTAAGTGGATATCGAAACTAATCTCTCCTCAATTCGATCAAAGACAATTCATGCAGCCTCAAGAATCATGTTGATTTATATGTATTCTATTTAGAATAAATATAAATATAAATCAGAATGATTCTTGAATCTTCTCAATCAATTGTAGTGAAATGTTAGGTCATAAATAAATACAAATTATAAACGTATACTGACCATAAGGTTTGTCAGTTCTGATCTTCTTCCCGCTAGCCTCGATCTTGAAAGTGTTAGGCCTGCTCCGGGCAAGAGAGGGAACGCCTCTCACCGTCGCTTTCTCGACCGTGAAGGGAGACGGATTCAAGCTCACTGAAGTCATCATTGAGGTCGCCATTGCGCTGTCTACGTCTTCTGGAAATTTCCGACCTCCTTTGATTTCTGCTGTGTGGCTTTTGGCTTCAAAATTTGTAGATATTAGGAGTGAAGTAGCTGATGGTGATTGCTAAATGGTGACACGTGGCAGTGTGTATGTGGGTGAGATCTGGATATGAGCATCACGTTATCGGAAATTCGTAGTCTTCCAACCAGCACTGCCTGTGGGCTGAGGCAAGCACGTACAATCCTTCAAAGCTATTGACACGTGGATTAGGTAGGAAATGATATTTGAAATTTCACCCTAATAAATCTTGAAATGTCAAACTCTGTCCACAAAAATTTTGAAATTCTAAATTAAGGTTAAGAATTAGGTTTCAACATGATAAGCTATTATATTTGGGTTGAGGGAAAGGATGAGAGGAGTTGATTTTTTTTATTAATCAAAATTTCTGATTCTCTCTCTCTTTTTGTTAAATTTAAATATATTATAAAAATTCAATTTAAATCAATACCTTTGGTTTGGATTATCTATCACACTGCTTTTTAACATGATTATTGAAAAATTATCAAGATCTATGAAAACACTTCTCATATTATTTCTTAATAAGATTTCACTTTTACCCTTATTTATTTTAGGTTAAATGCTAAATTTGGTCCCTCAACTTTAAGAAATGAACATTTTTGATCCCTCAACAATTTTTTACACTTTTTTGATCCCTCAACTACAAGAAATGCACTCCGTTAGTCCTTCTGTTAATTTGAGCCGTTAACTCCGCTTACATGGCATTTTTTATATTTTTTTTGATGATGTGGAGAGCAAAGTGATGATATGGACAAATATTTTGACATTTCATATTACCATGTGCCAAATCATATTACCGTGTGTCAAATTCATTCAAATGGGTCCCACCTCACTAATAAAAAAAGATATCTTTTAATGACATGACAAATTAAGTGATATTTTTTTATATTTTTTTAATAATATAACAAATTAAATTAAATATTTATCCAAATAAAAAAATAATATCAAATCAAAATTTATTAATTAATTATCATTAAACTATAATTATTGGCAAAAGGTGCAGATCACCCCCTAAACTCAACAACTGGTGGCAAATCACCCCCTCAACTCACTTCACACGCAAATCAACCCCTAAACTCCCCTGCAGTGGCAAATCAGCCCCTCTCTTAACCCTTCCGTTAACATTTAACAATCTACTCATCAGTCCTTCCTCTATGTCTGACGTGGTCTTTTTTTGCTGAGATGGATGCTGAGGTGGAGGCAGAGTTGGACAAATCACCTCAAAATTAGTAGATCAAAAACTGCCCTTCCTCTTTTTCTTTGTTTTACATGACGTAGTCAAAAACTGCTCCTGAATATGTTGGATGATCATTGTATACATTGCAACGAACAGATTTCCGACGGCGACGATCAACCGTTGTCGGCCTATGATTTCGTTTATCTCCCCATTGTTTTCAAGTGATTCTCTTCCTCTCCTTCATCTCTTTTTCTTTTTCAATTTAGAGGCATAGTCTTGATTTTCGTAGATGTTAACGAGTTCATTTTCTCGCTGGAAACAAACAATAACAAATGCAACGTGGGATATGGGTTTGTGAACATGACATCGCCGGAGGCGACATAGCGACTGTACAAGGCGTTTCATCATCAGCTGTTGGTGATCTGCACCTTTTGCCGTATCCATTCAGAGCTTTCTGTTGTTGGTTTTGGCTACCAGCGACCAATGACTGAAATGGTGCGTATTGAGCTCCGAGCCAGGAGCTTATCTCCCATAGCTGCCGCAGACTGTTGCAGCCATCACATCCTCTACCCACAGCTGTATGCCTGTACCTTGCTTACTTTTCATTAGAAAAATTAATAATGAAGTTTTTCCCTTTAACCTTCTGTTTATGTGGTTTGGACTATGGATAATTATTTTGATTAATTAATTAATATTTTTCCTAAGGCATCAATTTGTGTCTGTGAATTTTTTTAGAGTATATAAAATATAATTAGTGTGAGGAGATTTAATTAATTAAATTATAATATTTTAAAATATTATAATTTAATTAAATAAAAAATTTATTTCTTCTTCTTGTTTTACTTTTTTCAAATTAAATATAAGGTCATGATTATGAATACATAAAATTACAAAGAAAATTTTTAACTGGTAACTTAAGGTATAATTAGTGTTAATTAATATTTAAAATATAAAAATTATTATTAATTTTACTATTTATGTTGTGAATTATTTTAATTAAATATTTATTTAAATAAATATTAATTTTTATTTTTTAATCTGTTGATTTGAGGTATTTGTCCAGCTATGCCTCCACTTCAGCATCCATCTCAGTAAAACAAAGCCACGTCAAACACAAAAGAAGGGCGGATGAGCAAACTGTTAAATGTTAACGGAAGGGTTAAGAGAGGGGCTGATTTGCCACTGCAGAGGAGTTGAGGGGTTGATTTGTGCGTGAAGTGAGTTGAGGGGGTGATTTGCCACCAGTTGTTGAGTTTAGGGGGTGATATGCACCTTTTGCCATAATTATTTATATTAATCAAAATTAAAATTTTAAATTAATTTATAATTAAATCACCATTTTCTCATCAAATTTTCTTTCTTTGACGAACATGATAGTTTCTCAGTAACCAATCTTGCCAACCTAACAAATTCAAAACATTTTCTCAGCATCCAAACACCCAAACTATACCATTTTCCAGCCAAACAAATGAAAACCACTAAGAATTGCTTCTTTGCCCGACTGCTTCTGTTCTTTCCATTTCCATTTTGAACATATAACAAACATATAACAAACATATAATGTCTTGGATAATCTCTTCGCAAATCAACATATAACAAAAAACAAAAAAACAAAAAAGTAGAGCTGGGTTCATCGAACCCAGCCAACTGGGTTCCTCGAACCCAGCCAACTGGGTTCCTCGAACCCAGCAGATTTGGGTTCGGTGGAACCCAGCAGATCTGGGTTCCTCGAACCCATGTAATTTTTTATTTTTTTATTAAGGCAAAATTAGTTGATGAGTGGGCAGTGAGTTGGCACTAACGTGGCTTAAAAAAAAATTCCAGATTAACATTTTTTAAAATTATTTTTGCCACGTCATAAAATAAATTATAAAAAATACCACATGAGCGAGTTAACGGCCCGAATTAACAGAATGACTAACGGAGTGCATTTCGTATAGTTAAGGGATAAAAAAAGTGCAAAAAATTGTTGAGGGACCAAAAATGTGCAACTCACTAAAGTTGAGGGACCAAATTTAGCATTTAACCTTGATTTGAATCCCCAAAACTCATGAAATTACTACTACTATTGTGGAATTAACTGCCACGTTTTGATCTTTTCTTTCTTTTTCTTATCCTTTCTTTCCTTTTCTTTTAGACAATACTTCGCTATTTGGATAAAAATTAATGAAGAGAAGAGAAGAGAGGAGAAGTGAAGGAAAAAAACAGTTAATATTAATTTTATTTGCATAAAAGAAAGTAAAAGAGATTGAATGATAATATTTTTATTTAATTAAATTATTTTAAAAAATAAAATAAAATAAAAAATTTTAAATTTATAAATTAAAAAATAATTAAAATAAAAATTTTTATATATTTATTTTTTTTAAAATCCAAACATATTAAATATATAAACCAAATTACTCCAATATAGAAAGGCAAGAAGGTGCAATTCAACCCCTATACCTGCAATGTTGTGGCAAATCAGCCTCTATACTAGAAACTATGGCAAATCAGCCCCTCTACTTCATGATTTTTGCAAAATAGCTCTTTTAGTAAGAATGACGTCATCCAGCCATTAGACCCATCCATTGCCCACTAAAGCTTGATGAGTTGGTGCTGACTGAGACTTGATTGGGCATTGATGTGGATCAATTTACTCCACTTGCATTAGTTGAGATGGCAAGGTAATGTTTTGACTAAACAACCCTTACCAGAACAAATAAAATTAGGGATGTAGGATTTCAATCTCACCCTTAATTGCAATTTTCCCTCTGTTTTGATTTACTTCTACTTGTTTCAATTCCTTTCGGCCTTTGGTTCCTTTCCCTCTATTTTGATTAAAGTTTAGGGTGATTTGGGCCATAGAGATGTCATCTTCAACCTTGTTCCAATTCTTTTCTTCTCAATCATCAATTGAAGAATGAGGAAGTGGGGGCAACTAGGTCATTATCTTCGAATCTTTGGGAAGTATTGTTTTTGCTATATTTTTGCTTTTCTGAGAGGATGGGGGTAGTTAGTGGAGAGGATGAGTGATTGGGGATTGAATTGGAGCCATTTTTGTGGTCTTTTTTTGACTCATCCGTGGATACTCCTTTGGAGCAATGGGAATGTGGTGTGGTGGATCTGGTGTAGCTCGTTTTCTCCTCATCCAATTCATATGCTTCCTCTTCTTGTTCTTCTTCATCCTCGAATTCTTGCACTTCAAATGCAGTCCTCTACCTTTCTTGTTCTCCTCCTCTATGGGTAGATTGAGTTAGAGAGAACGATTGTAATTTCTATTTAGATGGATATGGTTCATGAATATTTGGTGCTGGCGGCAATGGCAACATTGGCATCCTATTGCTTCCAAGTTGAAATCTTTTCGAAACAGAGGAGCCGTCGACCAATTTAGAATCTTTGAGTACACACTCAGCTCCATCTAATGAATAAATAACATCATTTTCCTCTAAATCTTTCCACACATAACCATTTTTGTAACTCCTAAAACTCAAAAAATGAAAATGTGTTAAGCAAGAATAGAAACAGAAATAGGAGAAGGAAGAACAGAAGACATGTATAAAGGTATACCTTTTACAAGACCAAGAATACAGAGAATGCATTCTTTTACCTCTTAGAGTCATGATTCTTTCCATTGCATTTAGGAATTATGAACCCAGAAAACAAAGACAATAAAAGATGAAAATTTTGAAGTATTTGTGAGATTACAAACAGAAAGAAAAAGTATGCATAATGGGCAAATACCTCTGAGGTGAAATAGGTGATTAATAGAGAATTTGCTTTGTGTCCTTCGCCTTCTTCACTTCTCTGTCGTTTGCTTCTTTACTTAATATATCAATTAAATCCATGATTTTTCCCTTCTTGATTGAATGAAGATTGAATAGTAAACCCAGGTGAAGTATATTGGTCCACATTAGCGCCCAATTAGCTCTAAGTTAGTGCCAACTCATCAAGCTTTAATGGGTAATGGATGGGTCTAACGGTTGGATGATGTCATTCTCATTAAAGGCATATTCTGCAAATATCATGAAATAGAGGGGTTGATTTGCTCTAGTTTTAGGGTTGACCTGCCACAACATTGCAGGTACAGGGGTTGAATTGCACCTTCTGCCATATAGAAATATGAAAAACAAAAGAGTGAGGGGACTCCATCATCGTTCTATCTCCCTCCACTCCATTAATAAAGAAATATAAACAAAATAAAAGAGATGTCTGTTGCTTACTCTTCTTTCCTTCCCTTCAAATCTCCTAATTCAAACATATGCTACATATTCCTTCAAAGATTTCATACGATGCTAACATTTTTTCTTCAAACATACGCTACATATCCCTTCAAAGATTTCGTACGTACCATGCCAACAATTTTTCTTTTAAAATTGAGTTTTCAATGTCACCTAAATGCCAATTCAACTCTTCGCTGCATTTTCTAACTTCCATTATTTGATTTTTTTAATTAAATATTTTTTTATTTAATAACATATACAAATTATAAATAAAAATATAAAAATTAATTAATTATATATTATTATTCATTCGCTATCTCTACTCTCTGTTATTTCTTATTTTTAATACTCTAATTATTAAATTTCAACGTCATCCTTACAAACTGTATGAAAGAAGAAAATAGAAGATAATTTCGTTGTGTCCAATTAAAAAGTAAAGGAAAAGAAAACAAACAGAATCTATCTTTTTGGCTTGGTAAAGCATAATTCAATGGATTTCTTTATTTTATGTGTTTAAGATACAACTTAAGAATATATTAAATATATAATATTAAAATTGATATTAATTTTAATGTTAAGTGAATTTAATTAAATATTGGATAAATTAAAAATTAATTTTTATTTTTTAATGTAAATTTATAATAAAAAAATATATTTAATACACTTTTAATTTGTATGTACGTGATAAATAAATCCTAATTCAATTATTGTATTGGGTGGTGAGTATTAATTTTATTAAAATCTAAAACTCAAAAAAAAGAATAAAATATCGATGATCTATACATTTGAATGGAAACAATTTGATTAAAATAGAAGAAATTTGATTTGGGTAAAAAAAATTTAATTTTCTTAAACAAAGTTTAAATTTAAATTTTATAAATATACAAATAAATATTAAGGGAGTCTTTTTTATATGACACCGAACGAATTTAACTTTAAATTAATTGGGTTTAATATGATTTTTAAGATATTAAGAGGTATTAATAAAAAAATTAATAAATAAAATTGAAAAAAAAAAAGAATTTAAAAAACCACTCCACCATAGGTGGGCCTATGGCGTCTGCATTACCGAAATTGATGTCAAATTTCTGTTCGAGTCAAGTTCCTCTCTCTTTAAAATGGAGTAACCTTTTCACACCGTCTTTCCTCTTTTTCGTGAGTACTTGGAAAAAGCAGCGTAGGGTTTGGTCTCGACAAAGCCAAGATTACGCTCATCTTATAATCCTTTGTTTAAGTTTACTGTCTCCCGGCCAGCTCAACTCACCTGTTGCTGTTTTTGTCCTCATCGTCATTTTCTCCGGTAATCTTGCTTCTTTTCATGTCTTTTTCTTTTGTTCTATGCTTTTCAATAGTGGGTTCTGATTTTCTGCAACACCCACTTGGTGGTTTTTGCTCTACTGCGGATTTTTGGAGGATGGGATATTGTTAGTGTGGAAAAGGGAAATTATTTGGCTTGGTTAATCTTTTCGGGGGTGCTTCTATTTGGAAACTTAGATGTGAAGTTATTTGGTGTTGAACAGACGAACATGATCGAATTTATTGTTTTCCATCTGTAATTCATCAATTGGGTATTCTTATTTTGTGGAATTGGAGGCTAGTGGGTCTTCTTCTATCCACTTTATTAGCGGGGATTCTGTGATTTTGCTAGAGTTGCTTTGGTTCTGCCAGATCGCGGCATTCACTATGTGCATGCTTATTGCTGTTGGTTTTAGCTCGTTTCCCTTTAGGTGCACAGAGTTTCATTCCCATGTGGATGATTGTTCGTAGCAGGTTTTGGTGTAGCTACTAGATCATTTCATTTGATGTGAATTTGGGGAAGAGCATTCTTAGGTTTGTGATGGAGGATATAGGACTCTTCAACCAAGGATGGAAATGGCTGCAATCTCAGAAACATGGCTGTTTGAGAGTGAAAAGGGCGTTAGTATGTAGCAGAGACAGGATGGGGGTCCTTATGGAGCGGCATTGGCCGATGGTGTGCAATGGGTGTGTGAAAGTTGGCAGGTTCTCATGCTTCTTGTTGATTTATTGGAAAGACTGTGTTGTGAGAGGTTTCCAGTCTACTTTAAAATTGGATTCTGCTTCATTATTTGTTATAATGTGGAGTTTCTTCCTTAGTTTGACTTCCATGTCATGCCTGGTTTATGTGCTTCTCAGTATGGTAAATCTTCTATACTTTCTATCTTTTTAATTTTATTGGTTTTGCTATTTGCTGCATCATCTGTGCTTATATTGCTTTATTTGGTTATTTAATATCTAGTTTTCTTTTTTAATAATCTTGATAAGGATCATTTCATCTATTTAACTAATTCAATGTACTACCAAAGATGACTGAAAATGAAAAACTTTTACTTTGATCAAGAATGATAGAGCTCCTTGTTGTGTTCCTCTGCCTTAAATATCTATTCTAAACACCCAAAACTATGAGTTTTCCTTCTGTAACTTGAAGAACTTGTGCTTAGCTATTGCAAAGGCTTGAACCCCTGCCCTTGAGCCATAATCAATGCATTTACATTAGTAGGTGGCAAATGCTGCTTACGTGGTAACCCTTCTATGCTTCTACATTGCTGGAGTTATTTTGTTTCAATTTTTTTTCTTCTTTTAAGTTGATGTTTGTGTGATGAATTTCAAACATGCTGGTTAGGAGGCTTTCTCTAGTCACTGCACTGAGAGCATTTGAATTACTTCTTGGATTCTAGAAGATTCCTAATCCATGGGTTGTGCTCTGTGTATTTTACTTCTCGAATCTAGGTTAGTAGGATACTTGTTGGAATGTTAAGATTAATTAAGGTTCCATTTAGTATGGTTTTGAACTTTGGTTTTGGTTTTCAACTTTTTTTATATTTGACAGCTACTACCATATTTAGAAATTAAAATTTATTATAAAAAGAAAATTTATTACATTTAATCTAAATATGGTATTAGACAGTATTAGTTACTAAATATATACAAAATGAAAATAAAAAACTAACACTAAAATCTATACTAAATGGAGCCTAAGTTTTCAAGTAAGATTAGAGTGTTGATTTAAAAAAAAGTTAGTGCATGCAAATCGAGGTGTTTCAACAAATTCAGGATCCCTTCTCTCCTAAACTTTCCTCCATATAGCAGCAAAAATGCTCATAATTGTAAAGGTTTCCAAATTACTATGGAAACATCTAGCACTAGTGAAATAGTTTTGAAAATGAGAATTTGAGCTTTGGGTTTTCTGGGTGATAAATCATCCCACGTTTCTTGAAGAAAGTTATAACAGTAGTATTTTACTTTGTGATAATTATATTTAAATTTAAAGATCTTTTAGAATTCGTTTATAATCTAGGCTGCCTTCATAAACTGTATTGCTCATCCTCATATATTCTAGCCATCAATAAGCAACTTATTCCGTTTATTTTTTCATTTATTCTTGTGCATAATTGCAAATGTTCCAGAGCTATCCTGTTTTTGGTTCTCTTTTTTTTCTCCCTACTTAAATTAGTTTCAGGATTTGATGTTTGCAACAAAAAATTTGTTCCCTTCTTTGTGAACCTTCAGTTGATTGCATTTGATGGAAAATGAGAAAAAGAAATCAGAGTCAAATATATGGTGCTCTGGCTATTTCATTC